TCTTAAAATCACCAGCACTAGGTTTTATTTGCCTGCCCATGCCTGCAATGTTAGTGGTGTGTTATTTGCTTACGATTTCCTAAGAATTCTCTTACAGTGCATTATAATAATACTCAATATTCTCTCTCTTCTCTTTTCTCCTGCAAGAACATTAAAAAACTTCTGAAGATCCCCTACAGCAAGTCCCACGTGAGCATGGCAGTGCATCGCATTGGGAGGACACTCCTCCTGGATGAGCTGGACATTCAAGAGCTCTTCATGAGATCCTCTCAGGTTAACTGCTTGGTTTTGTTAACTGTGTCATCTGGTCAAAAGGCATTATATGAAGAATAGTGTAGCCAGCAAGAAAGCACATAGGTATCAAAGTTCCTGAGCATCATACTTGTCTGAGTACAAAAGGTACTCCATTCTGCAGCAACTGGTTTACCCACAAATTGCATCTGATGTCCTGTATTTATGGGATTGTAGGGTTAAAATTCCATGTCCCACGTCCCACTTTCCTGTAGTTACTTCGAGGTAGCTATACTTACTACTATTAATTTTATTATTAATAAGTTTTTATTACTGTATAGCCTCTTACTGTCTATCTGACTTTCTAATGAAGACAACTCTTCTAGAAAATATATTTTCAATAAATGACCAATTCAAGACTTGAGCTATGAAGTTAGTTTCTGAGTTTCTTCTGTTGCTGTGGATGACTATTCATAACTTAATAAGGCACTTGGTTTACTTTGCAGAGGCTTCTTGATATTAATTTCACATCTATGTTATTGACTAGACAGGGGACTGGACATGGCTGAAAGAATTTTATCAAAGGCTGATTGATCAGAAGTGGCAACGAAAAAAGAAGAGTAAAGAACATTGGTACCAAAAGGCTATCCTTTCTAAATTCTTGTATTACAGGTAACCTTGTGCCTGCATGAATCTTGATTTCTGCACCACTTACATTTGCCTGGTTGCTTGTACTGAAGTAAATGTTAAAATTCCATTGTGGTCTGTCTTATTTACTGATTTATCCTTATACAGAGGAAATTAAGGGGTGAGATCAGGAAATAACATGTAAATGTTGTACCAGAAATTGACAGATTTTAAAGTGAAATTAAAGTATTAAAGGATAAAATAATCAGTGTGACTTAATTAGCTGTGTGTCTCAATATTTCTGGATTTGAGGGAAGAATAACTTAAATGCACAAGGTAGATTCTGATGCCTGCTGTAATTCTGGGGAGGTTTGAGCAATGTCTAGCTTGGCAGTCTAGCAAATCTTTTAGCTTATTAGCAAAACCATTCTTGGGAGAACAGCACAGCAAATGTAACAGTTCTAAAATGGACCTGTTTGCATGTTGTCCACTGAACTTTTTAATGTTGTTTTGTCAGCATTAATGGTGATGGAGCTGCTCAGCCTGTTCCTTCCACTTCCAAACAGCACCAGGAGGGTCCTGTTTCAGGTGAGAGTGATGAAGCAGGAAGGGCCTCCTGGCCAGCTCCTTTTGAGATGCCTTCTGCGTTGTCTGAAGAGCCAGGTGCCTCTAACCAGGTTGGTGTGTTCAATGTTTTAAATGGCACCTCAGTTTTTCTAGAGACATAGACATTGAACGGTTTTCCAAAGTTGCTGCTGCAGTATTTGCTGAGAGAAATGAAATGCAGTATTAGAAGGATGTGGCAGTATGTGTGGTTTAGCTTATGCCAGTGTTTCAGAGCTCCAAATTTCAGAAATATTTTGGTCTTTCAGACTATAATATAATATAGGCATTGATTCAATTTTTGAGAGGTTGAAAGATGTGCTACATTCATTCTACATTAATATAATAATGATGTTACAGTTATGCTTAGAGTTGCCAAGTGCCTTGGTCAGCAAACTTCCAAAGGTTCTAGGTTACATTACCCATAAAATTGTAACTACATGTGTTGTGGTGCAGTAATATTGTAAAGTGGAGAAATATTTTAGTGCCTGAAATCTTTTAGAAAAAGGACTGCTCCTCTTTTCCACCTTCTTGAGGAACCGTTGCTGAACACAGCAGGCTGCTTATCAGAAAGAAGCTCTTGTGCATTTGCACAGTGTTATTTTCTTTAATTTGTAAGACATCAGGACAGAGGCTTTACTTCTAGAGACTGATAATCTGGTGCTGATCCTGGGGTGATAAAGAGTTTCTCTAAACACTTTCCGATTTCTCTCCAAAGCCTCTGAGAGCATAAAGTACAAAATTTTGGTACTAGCTATAGAAAAGAAGCATTCTAGTCACTTGACTAGAGGCTTTTTGTATTTTAAGACGTATTTATTTCAAGATGTTAGAGGCAGAGGTTTTTTCCCTTATGTGCTTTTCTTGTTCAGACTATTATTCTTTTTTTTAGTGGCCTAACTTTTCCTCAGCAGCAGAATCACTCCTTATCCTTGTGCTTTTCACAGGGCAGTGTGCCTCTTGAACCCTCATATATAGTGGGGCATGTGGCCTCAGCCCCCAAAGAACAAAACCTGACTCCTTTGTTCAATGATGGGGAAAACAGTCAGGTATGCTATCTGTGGAATTCGAGCTCAAACACTGAACCCCCAATCTAAACAAACATTTTAAAAAATTTGGTCTAAATTGGAACTAAGAGAAAAACTAAGTCCCCTGTAGAAGTAGCTTCTGTGGCATCTGTGACCTCAGTCTTTTAAGTTAATGTGAGTGCGTAGTGTAGTCATGATGTGCTGTCTTTTATTTGCTGCTTTTGCTCCTTGCTTCCTCCTAATTCCATGGAATTTCCTAGAGAAGGAGTTTTATACTGCTGATTTATAGAGCAGTTCTTTTCTCTTTAATGAAGGGACTGAAAAATGACTTTGTTCGTAATATCTTGTGGACCTTTGAAGATATCCACATGTTGGTAGGATCAAATATGCCAATATTTGGAGGTGGGAGGTACCCTGCTGTGAGCTTGCGTCTCAGGTGAGTCCTGAAGTTACTGAGATCTCTGTGCTGGCCTTCACTGACTTGTTACTTTGCTTCCTGTTTAGCAGTCTGCATCTTGTTGGGCTGAACCTTTAATTTTTATGTGCAGTTTAAGTCTAAAGCTTGAATTTTATTCTTTAATGATGGCATTGCTAAGTGCAGGAAAATGAACAGTCCCAATGCTGTGCTGCTGCACTGGGGCTTGAGATGCTCTGCTGATATTCCTGGCTCTGATTTTTTTATTTATAGATCATTATATATATATATAATACAAAGGTGGTGGGGTTTTATTTGCAAGTATTGTATTTCTCCTGCTGGGATCCTGAATTTCAGTAACTACTAGCTGAGCATAAGGACTTAAAGTTTGTGACTGCAGATTCTGTCTTACTGTTCACTAATAGTGTACATTGATCATTTGATTTCCTGTTCCTGCCTATGCACAGGCAAAGAACCAGCAAAACCTTGAAACTCATTTGGTGCATTTGTCTTCTCTTTAAGACACATCTAGGAGTTAACAGTGTGTTGCTTTGGAAGGAGTTTTGGGAGGGCTGGGAGAAGGCTTGTGCTCTAACTAGTTGCAGTCTTTCTTTGGAATTTCTTAAGTTACTATCTGGGTAATAGTCTGACATCTGAAGCTTGTTGAAGTTTCAGTGTAAGTGTGGGAAAAAATTCAAAATTGCTGAGAGAATGGGAGTGTACTCCATTGGAGAGATCAGGACATCTCTTTCTTTGATAGAACTCATTGTTTGCCCCTTTAAAATAGGACAATTCACAAACACTTGTTTTGGTATCCATCCACTCTCAGGTGACTTAAATCTAAATCCCATTAGTAAACATCCCTCATGCTTTCTGAAGATTAAATAAAGACTTTAATGACACTAGAAATACTTGTTTTTAGGGACAACAACAAGCCAATAAATGTGCTAACAGGAATTGACTATTGGTTGGACAACTTAATATGCAATGTACCAGAGCTTGTGATGTGCTTTCATGTTAATGGGATCGTTCAGGTAAGTCTGGCTCTTTGCATTATGCCCACTTAATCCATTCTTCAGTTTCTGAAGTTGCTCCAGTTGTGACAGATCTTTCCATCTTCCTCTTCTGACAAAAAAATTACAAAAATCCTGTATTTATATTGCCACACTTAGCTGAGTTTCTGTTCTACTTGGTAGCATGTAGTTGTTTACTAGGCTGTGTAGCTTTCTCTGAGGTAATAGTTAAATGCTGCACCTTCACCACTTTTTTTCACCTTCTGTTCTTCATTTATCATGTTTGTCACAGAAGTGAATCCTCTTCAAAGCTTTTTATTGAGTAGTGTAATCATAATGTGCTTGGTTTTAAAGTAAATCATAGAAATTAGCTCAACTTACTATGCCACTATATCATAATAGTAGCCTTTGTTTCTTTTAGCAGTTGATAGAAACACTGATCTGTAGATTTTTTGGGGGGGTAGGTGGCAGAAAACCCTCCTAATCTTGAGTTTTAACATATATTCCTTGCAGAAATATGAAATGATCAAGACTGAAGATATTCCCAATTTGGAAAACTCAAATTTTTCTACCAAAGTGATAAAAGATATTGCTCAAAATATCTTATCTTTTCTGAAATCCAATTGCACCAAAGAAGGACATACTTATTGGTTATTTAAAGGTAAGTAGGTTTAGATCAATGTGAAAAAAAATTATGTTAATGTCATGTTGATTAATGAAAGGCCTTACCTTCCAGCAAGTGGGAGTGATATTGTAAAGCTCTACGACCTAACCACCCTTTGTGAAGAGACAGAAGACAAATACCAAAACCCTTTTACAATGCCAGTGGCAATTCTTCTATACAAGTGAGTTTTTATCCTTTTTTTGGTAATACTTTGTTCTTGGTGCAGTGGTATTTAAAGTACAGACCAAAAATTAGGATGGAATGAAAATTACATAAAATCTGCTTTGACACCTGAGTAGTAGGTGATATCTTTGGTAGACCCATCATAAAATTTGGGAGATCTACATTTGCAATTGTATTGTTTAAAGCTTTTTTTTTTCCTTCTAGCACAAATAGACTATCCAAGGATTTACTGTTTAACTTTCTTTTAGAGTTGCGTGCAATATGATGCTGAAGAAAAACCAGAACAAGAAACACTATGGCACTATCAGAACATTGCTCCTTAATTGTCTTAAGTTATTGGACAATGGCAGACATCCTCAAGTAAGAATTATGTGTTTCTTGCAGCTTGGTGTAAAGAAAACAGAAAGGGTGTCTTTGTTATACACCTGGTCATATTTTGTGTAGTGCTTCCCCCTCTGTTTGCAAGGAGAGAATTTAAATTCCTGCATAAACTTAGAAATCAATTTATGTTTAAGAAGCCTCAGACTTTTTTTTTTATTTTTTAAATTAGTAGCCTTTGCTGACCCTCATTTCTGCACAAGTCTTCTGGCCTGCTCCAAAAATGGACTTGTCATTACACTTGCTCGTTCACTCTCTTTCCCAAAAGCCTTTTTGTGTTTGGAAGCTGTGCAGACCCTGGAGGAGATCTTAGCTAGACCTTGTAAAACACAAATATAAGAACATTCTTACTCTGAATGTTGCAGCTGGCCAACCAGAGAGGTTATAGAGCCTCCATCCTTTGAGACACTCAAAGCCCAGCTGGATGCGTGTTGTGCTTTGAGCAAGGGGGTTGGGTTAGACAGTCTCCAGGGGTTCCTTCCAAACTCAACTGTTTTGTGGTAGGTGGGAGAGTCAGAAAAAGAAGCTCTGAACTCTTGATCTCTTCATTATGCTGTTGAGTGAGCCATCAGTACCTTGAGGTACTCTGCACTGCAGAAACAGTAAGAAAAGTAATGAAAAGGAGATGGAGTTGTCCTGACCTCCTTTGTTCCAGATACTTGATTCTGGTTCTTTCCTAAGAAAAACAGGGATCCAATTGCTCTGAATGACAAGTAGTTTATTAAAAGTTTAGGGGCTAAGAAAAACAGGGATCCAATTGCTCAAGTAGTCAATTGCTTAATTGACAAGTAGTTTATTAAAAGTTTAGGGAGGTAAAGCAAGTGTTACTGCTGCCAGATGGGCTACCTTCCTTTTTTGGAGCAGAAGCCAATGGAGTGTTCTGCTTTCTCATTGAGGTGTTGACTAGATCTATTCACTTTCTCTTCCTTGTCTTAAATTGAGAAATCTCTGAGTTCAGATTGATATAAGGGGAGAATCAATGCCCTTAACCAAAAAAGTAAACTTTTAGGGATACTGCAGGAGGCTCAGAAGCTGCTTTGTGGAGGCTGTGCTATGCTGACAGGGTAACTTAAAATTTCTACTATTTGTAGGCAATGCATCATAAATCTCAAAGAAATGTCCATGCTGAAATGTAATTCAAAGTATAACTTCATTTACATGGAAGTGGTCTAGATTTAAGCTGTTTTCAACAGAAAGTTGATCCCAAAAATGTGATGTGAAAAATCTGAATTGTATTTAAAATGGAATACAAGAGGAGGCATGGGATATGTTAACTAAATAAAGTCTTTTGTAGATCTCTTCTAAAGTTATGGAAAGCTCTCAAAATCCCACTAGAAGGTCTTGAAATTGTTTCTTCTTTTTTTTTCTTGTTTGAGATGCTTCCCTCATTTGCCTCTTGTATTCTACAAGGTTTTAAAACAGGGGCTACTCTTCACCAGTTGGTTTTTATTCTGTTCTAAACTCAATGAGGCTTGAATCCTTTTTCTTATGTGGGTTTTTTAACTCTTAACTGTTTAGTAGGGCAGGAGAAAGTGCTTATCTGAGCTGGTTAATTCAACTCATGCTCAGGAGTTACTTTCTCAGCAGTTGTATATTGGTTCAGAAAATAGCCTGGTAATTTTCTGGGATATTTTTGTTAACACCTCTGCAAGAAGCCCTCCAAAAATACACAAGGAGTTTATGCATATCTCTGAATAACTGACAACATACTGTCTGCAGTGATTTGTTCCTTAAATATTGTTAAAAACCCAGTGACATCTGGTCAGAGATTGTGTGTGTGTGTGTACAGGCTGTATTTACAACATATCAAATACCTTCTTGCATGTACTGTTCCCTCCTTTTTCTGAGACAGATGATATTGATGCTGCCTCTAAAAAGGAAAAATTAACATGAAAATAAATCACTGTTTTTCTCTCCTATTTAAAAAGATTATTGCTTCAGCAAACTACATGTTATCAGAGCTTTTTCAGTTGGATGAGCCTAAAAAAGAAGACAGTACAGACTTCCCTATAAATGGAAATTCTGATGAAAGCTACAGCGAGGAAGAGGAAGAAATGCCAGATAGTGATGAAAATGGTTCTTACAGTAACAGTTCTGATCCACCAGATGACAACAAAGCTGTGGCCATAATCAAGTCTGTGGGAGAGCTGTCAGTCCCAGAAAAGTACAAGTCTGTTCATAGGATACGTGTAAGTGAAGCTGTGGATTTCTTTTTTAAGGGTTTTCTTGAAAGATTCGTGTAGCAAGGTTTGTTACTGAAATTCGGGCACCTGCTAATTTGGTCTTGTGGTTAACTGAAGCATGAGGCAGTGGGGAAGGAAACTTCTCAAGAGCTGCTTATAAAATTGGAGGACTTTGAATTTTCCTGTGGTGCAGATTCAATGTAGATATCCCTCAGCCATTGTGCACATGTCCTTTGTGGCATGATTCTGCTTAGCTGGCTACAGGAAAATCAACCCTGACATGGCAGCAGAGAAAATGTTGGCAG